TGGGTAGGGCGGAGCATGCTTGTGCCCCCTAACTTGAAATGCAAATTACGTATACTGTATATATGATTTTGTGCAGCCCTGCCACCATGTAGCAGTAGTTCTGCTATAGGGTGGAGAGCAAATGGTTACAGAGTAACTCCACATTTTTTGAGAAAAAAACAATCCTCTCAAAGTAAACAATATACATTGTAAAGATTTTCCCAAAATTTGCAGCAGATTTCTAGTTTATGTGGCTCTGAATAAATAACTGTCCCTTTGCAGTCTGATTCTGAATGGGAGGGTCTGGTTTATTATAATTAACTGGTGCATTCTCAGTATCCTGATGTGAAAAGCTGCAGTGTCTGCATTGTTTTGGAAGTGTTCAACCCTTGGAGATTATCTAACCAAAACTAAAATTGTTATTTCAGGGGTACCTAAAATGAGACTTGTATCTTTTTGAACTAATAACATATGCAAGGAATGACATTTCTGGGGGTGTTCTGTACATTTCTGTACATTTGTAGCCTATTACGTATTGGCATTCAGTAAGAAATATCTACCTAGGCTGTCCCAAAAGGATTTAGAAAATAACGTAGATGCTGTGTTAAAAAGTCTTAAAAGGAATTAAGGGTAAGATTGAAAATACATACAGTATATGATTCAGTTTGATTTTTAAAGTCCCCCCCCCATAACATGGTTTAATTGCCTATTGATCCTGCCAGATTATTGGTTATTCATCAATTCCTTTTAGGCCCCTTTCACACGGGGGGGTGGACTTCACTTTCAATCTGCTTGCTCAGCAGGGGATCTGTCCACTTCCCCCCCACTTCCCCCCACTCAGCACAGCAGAGTGGGTGGATGATACATCCCTGTCATTCTACTTATGAAGAGGCAACAAGGACACAGCCCGCTCTGCTCTATGTATAAATGTGAAATACGCTACCCAAAAAGTCTACTAAACTATCCCAATATTCATAAAAAACTTTCACCCTTGAAAGTGTGAGTAATTATATAGCAATATGAATGAGTCCCCACCTTGTAAAATCCCCACCCTATACTTAGTGGCAAACAAATCTTAGGAAATAAATCTCCAAAATTTACAAATATAAAAGTAAATAAAAATAAAAAAATATATAAAAAAAAAAAAAGATTTTTTTTTTTTTCGTACTGTCACCAGTGTCCCTGATCACCGCCATGCCAGTTATATGATGACGCTGTACTGCACTGGTGACAGTATGTAAAAAAAATAGTGAAAATCATTTTTTTAATTTCTTCACTTTCCGAAAAATTATGACAAAAAAAATTACAACTTCAAAAAACTCACCATGCCTCTTACGAAATACGGCGGACTGACAACTCATGGGGCCCCCGGGCAATAGGGCATCATGGGGCCCCTGTGTCCTTGCCCAAACTCAAAAGAGCCTATGAAAAAGGTACCAGGGGCATCTCATCAGGCCCCCTACTGGCAGTGCCCGAGTTTCCAAATGGTCAATCCGCCCCTGTTTGGGGGATATCTGTACTGTTCTGACATTTGGGGGGATATCTGTACTGTTCTGACATTTGGGGGATATCTGTACTGTTCTGACATTTGGGGGGATATCTGTACTGTTCTGACATTTGGGGGATATCTGTACTGTTCTGACATTTGGGGGATATCTGTACTGTTCTGACATTTGGGGGGATATCTGTACTGTTCTGACATTTAGGGGATATCTGTACTGTTCTGACATTTGGGGGATATCTGTACTGTTCTGACATTTGGGGGGATATCTGTACTGTTCTGACATTTGGGGGATATCTGTACTGTTCTGACATTTGGGGGATATCTGTACTGTTCTGACATTTGGGGGATATCTGTACTGTTCTGACATTTGGGGGATATCTGTACTGTCCTGACATTTGGGGGATATCTGTACTGTTCTGACATTTGGGGGGATATCTGTACTGTTCTGACATTTGGGGGATATCTGTACCGTCCTGACATTTGGGGGATATCTGTACTGTTCTGACATTTGGGGGATATCTGTACTGTTCTGACATTTGGGGGATATCTGTACTGTTCTGACATTTGGGGGATATCTGTACTGTTCTGACATTTGGGGGATATCTGTACTGTTCTGACATTTGGGGGATATCTGTACTGTTCTGACATTTGGGGGATATCTGTACTGTTCTGACATTTGGGGGATATCTGTACTGTTCTGACATTCTTGGACCTCAAGAAATTAGATTGGCTGTCAGTACTTCAGGATTGATCAATATTCAGATCTATACCATAGTTTGTGAACTCTATAACTTTCCTACAAACTAAATAGAACATCCTAATTTGGGTTATTTTCACCAAAGACATGTAGCAGAATACATCTCGGCCTAAATTTATGAAGAACAATTATTTATTTGCAAACTTTTATAACAGAAACAAAGAAAAAAAGTGTTTTTTTTTTTTTAATTTTTTGTCTTTTTTTGTTAATTTAGCAAAAAATAAAAACTCCAGTGATGATTAAATACCACCAAAAGAAAGCTCTAATTGTGTGAAGAAAATGATAAAATTTTAGTTTTGTTTACAGTGTTGTATGACCGTGCAATTTGTAAGTGTGAGAGCGCTGAAAATTGGCCTGGGCAGGAAGGGGGTAAAAAGTGCCCGGTATGGAAGTGGTTAAGTACCTTTCATTCTGCAACATATCACATTTTTGTTCTTTAGTTTAGATGTCCTTTTGCTCTCCGCCCTATAGTAGAAGTACTGCTACATGGCAGCAGGACTGTGCAAAATCATGTATATATACCTGCGCAGCTATAGATGTCAATCACCAGATCCCTGCCAGCGATTCCCGGCCGCACTCGGCGATCGTTGAGGAACCTGACAGGAGAGAGACCTGTGTGTAAACAATACAGATCTCTCCCCTGTCAGCATGGACATGCTGCTTTGTATCTCTCTGCACAGCCTGCCTCCCTAGTAAAACACAACACAGTACACACAGTTAACCCTTTCATTACCCCAGATGTTAACCCCTTCCTGCCCAGTGCCCTTAGTACAGTGTTAATGCTTTTTATTATCACTAATCACTGTATTAGTGCCGCTGGGGATGCCATTAGCAGTTAGTCAGTTCCCCCCCGTGTCTGAATGCCCGCCGCAGTCCCACAGTCCCGCTATGAGTCGCTGATCACTGTAAAAAAATAAATAAATAATGCCAGTATATATATATATATATATATATATATCACCATTTGATAACACTATAACTTTCATGTAAACCAATTAATGTGCACGTATTGGGATTTTTTTTTTAGCAAAGACATCTATGAAGACATTTGATTTTTTTTTTTTTTCATTAGATATGTTTTATAGCAAAAAACGTGCATCTCTATATCCTGCCTCACTGCTAGGATATTGCTAAGATACTCCCAGATGTTACTGTCCATTTCCACCATCACAGGAGTGAGCCCACAAATGTTGAGCTCAGAGTTACTACATTAAGGGAGAGAGAGAGCACATGTGAGGGGTTTGAATAGAGAAAGAATTTGTTCCCATGAAAGTGGTGAACAGTGATAGCTAGGTGTGTCTTAGCAACATCTTAGAGACAAGGCAGGATGGGGAAATGCAATCTCTGGAAGATTTTCAGTCAAGCTTTATGGGGTATGTAAGGTAAATTACCTACACCTATAGCAAGGGCATTGTTCACTTTTTTGGTATAGGTGAACTATGCCTTTTCTAGTAGACGTTGAGCCAGTCTGAGATGAATTAATGTTTATACATTATCAATTTATTTTAATGTGTTCACTTTCATGAATTCATTTATTTTTTTGCGGCATTGTACAATGGGCTAGTCCAAATGATAGCGTATAACCTACGAGAAGACCTGGTGATGCCATTTTGTCAATATTGAAATGGTTCTTAAAATACACTTTCTTATTTTTTTCTAGAAATGTTTTTCTGAAATAAAAATAGATCTATGAATAATTTCCACATATAATGGTAATGAATCCCATGACAATATCAATACACACTTGAGATACCCCACAGTATCAAATAATTTACTCTGCTTAGCTATAAAAATCCATGATACTCAGCATAATCAGACAATTCTACATTTATTGGATGCACATCAAATGGCTGTGAAGCATTCCTTATTATTGCATTATGTCCCTGTCAATCAATTCTTTAAATGCTAGAAGTATGTTTATATTGGCTTTATAGGACAAAATTTGAAATAATTTTAAATAGTGATGACATTGTAAAATAACTAATGAAATAAGTGTATTGTAGTTTTTGATGAGCAAAGTACAAACTGCAGGATCTTTTAGTATAGGGCCCTTCTTTACTGATTAGATTCCAGTAAATCTTATTAGTTGGCTTTGAATATAATTATACCTTTTTTCATTGCCTTATTATTTACTGCAAGAATGACCAGGATGTACATATTGTTTCAAAACCAAGGCTTCTTGCATCAGGCCATTTACCACAGCTGGGCAAAAATACTTCATCATTCAATTGCTTTCAAGTTATAGATGTGAAAATTGTGACCAGAATTACCACCACAAGTTTTTCCTTCCTTCCTTCCTTCCTTCCTTCCTTCCTTCCTTCCTTCCTTCCTTCCTCCCTCCTTCCCTCCCTCCTTCCCTCCTTCCCTCCCTCCTTCCCTCCTTCCATCCTTCCCTCCTTCCTTCCTTCCTTCCTTCCTTCCTTCCCACCTTCCCTCCTTCCTTCCTTCCTTCCTTCCTTCCTTCCTTCCTTCCTTCCTTCCCTCCCTCCTTCCTTCCTTCCTTCCTTCCCACCCACCCTCCCTCCTTCCTTCCTTCCTTCCTTCCTTCCCTCCTTCCCTCCCTCCTTCCCTCCTTCCATCCTTCCCTCCTTCCCTCCTTCCTTCCTTCCTTCCTTCCCACCCTCCCTCCTTCCTTCCTTCCTTCCTTCCTTCCTTCCTTCCTTCCTTCCTTCCTTCCTTCCTTCCCTCCCTCCTTCCTTCCTTCCTTCCTTCCTTCCTTCCTTCCTTCCTATTCACCCATTTAAATTCTCTTTACAAGATATGGATGAGAAAAATATTACCAGAATTTCCACAATCCACCTCTTAGGATTGCAGACTCCTCGAATTATAAAATATTGGATCTTCTTAATTTTGCTTTTGATTTATTGTGTGTCAGTCTCTGGAAACCTCCTGATCATCACACTGGTGTCCTACAGCAAATCCCTCCATTCTCCCATGTACTTTCTCCTTTCCCAGCTCTCCATATCAGATATCTTACTAATAACGGATGTCCTTCCTAACATGCTCCATGCTGTTTTGATGGAAGAGGCCACCTTATCATTTTCCAATTGCATTTCCCAGGTTTATTTTTTTGGTGTTGCAGGAATGTCGGAGTGTCTTCTCCTGACTGTGATGTCTTATGACAGATATTTGGCCATCTGTAAACCATTACATTATACTTTGAAAATGAACCACCAATTTTGCTGGATAACAGTCATCACATGCTGGGCTTTAAGCATTAGTATCATTTTTATCAGTATTTTAACTGTATCCCAGTTACCATTTTGTGGTCCCAATAGGATTGACTACTTTTTCTGTGATCTTGATCCAATCCTAGAACTTTCATGCTCTGAGACAACCATTCTTCAAATAGCTTTTAGACCAATAATCACTACTGTGGTTGTTATTCCCTTCTGCATTGTCATTGTATCATATATTTATATATTATAGTCACTATTTTCAAAGTCTCTTCCGTCAGTGGGAGAAAAAAAGCTTTCTCCACATGCAGTTCCCACCTCACCGTTGTGTCCACTTATTACGGTACTCTATTTTGTGTTTACCTAATACCCAGCAAAGGACAGTCATGGAACAGGGCTAAATTCTTGTCATTGCTGTACACTGTGGTCACCCCACTGGTAAATCCAATTATATACAGCCTGAGGAATAAAGACTTTAAAATAGCTGCGGAAAAATGTATCAAGTTTTCTTCCAATTCACATCAGCATTGAAAGGAAATTACTTCAACAAATTCCATTGATCTTGTGTAGAGGGAGGCTTTCATTTTAAATGTTGACTTGTTTTTACTTTTTAAGCTGAAATTTCAATTGAAAATATATTCCAAGTGGATAATAACCAAAGGTGCAACATCTTAGAGTTTATTTTCATTACAAAACAGTCACAGCCTGAGTAGAAAAGTCCATCTTCTTCCAGCATTCAGCAGAGTGGGAACCCTTGCTCTCTGTGGGAAAGCAGTGGTCTCTAGATGTCTGACAAATACCCTGCTGAGTTAGATCTAAAACTCTTCAACCTGTTAAGTTGATGTCCTTTGCTGCTTGGAGAACTATAACTCTAACTTTTTTATAAACTCATAGTGTGGTTTTGCATTCTTTGGACTTTGCAAGTACACTATATTGCCAATACTGGCAATTGCACTGCCTGTGCAATAAGTCCATTCATGAAATTTCCTTGGTACTGAATAGTCCATGGTCAACTGTTAGAGGAAGTGGAAACAACTGGGAACAACAGCAACTCAGCCAGGAAGTGGTAGGCTACATAACATGACAAAGCAGGATCAGCACATTCTATTGACCTCCAAACTTCATGTGGCCTTCAGATTAACACAACAACAGTGTGTAGACAGCTTCATGGAATGGGTTTCCAAGCCTTACATCATCAAGTGCATTGCAAAGCGTTGGATGCAGTGATGTAAAGCACATTGCCACAGGACTCTAGAGTAGTGGAGACGTGTTTTCTGGAGTGACAAATCATGCTTCCCTGTCTGACAATCCTATGGACATGTCTGGGTTTGGTTGTTGCCAGGAGAAACGGTTCTTGCCTGACTGCATTATGCAAAGTGTAAAATTGGGTGGAGGGGGAATTATGGTGTGGGGTTGTTTTTCAGGGGTTGGGCTTGGCCCTCTTGTTTCCAATGATGGGAACACTTAAGGCATTAGCATACCAAGAAATTTTGGACAATTTCATGCTTCCAACTCTCTGGGAACAGTTTGGGGATTGTCCCTTTCTGTTCCAACATGACTGTGCACCATTGCACAAATCAAGGTCCATAAAGACATGGAGGAGTGAGTTTGGGATGGAGGAACTTGACTGGCCTGCACAGAGTCCTGACACCAACCCAACAGAACACTTTGGGATGAATTAGTCTGCAAGCCAGGCCTTCTCATCCGACATCAATGCCTGACCTCACAAATGCACTTCTGAAAGAATGGTCACACCTTCCCATAGACACCCTCCTAAACCTTGTGGACGGCCTTCCCAGAAGAGTTGAAGCTGTTATAGCTGCAAAGGGGGACAACTCAATATTGAACCCTACGGACTAAGACTGGGGGCCATTAAAGTCCATGTGCGTGTGTGAAGGCTGGTGGCCCAATACTTTTAGCAAAATAGTGTATTTTGTTTTAATGCACCTGGAATATATTAGATGATTTTAACTGAAATTTGTTACATTTTAACCACCTCAACTCTTACACCTATTAACCCCCTATGGACCAGATAATTTTTAACAATTCTGTTCTCAACCTCTGTATTAGGAAATAATTTTGTCAATACTTAAAGTGGAACTAAACCCATTGAATTAAAAAAACAGTTACATTCCAGACATGCTGGCAATGATAACTGTCACATTTGTCGGTGCTCTCAACCAAATTTTCAAACCATCAAATGTAATATAAATCTTAACTAGGAACCAGGAAAATATTTGAGTGGGGGGCTTGATATTTATTTTTGATTTCTTCCCAGGTGTAGAAAGTGTTATTGTTAATAAAGAATATATATATATACATATATATATATATATATGTATAATACTCCCAACCTGCCTGTTCTGCTACAGTGGACATCACTAAATGGTGGACCACGTTCCAGGGGCAGACTGACAACTCAATAGGGGATCATGGGGCCCCTGTGTCCTTGCCCAAATTAAACAAAGCTTATGAAATAGGTACCAGGGGCATCTCATGGGGCCCCCTACTGACCCCGGGCCCTCGGGCAGTGCCCGAGTTTCCAAATGGCCAGTCCGCCCTTGCGGCGGTCTATATCTGGACCAGGTTACTGTCTCATATGGACCAACTGCAGTCCCACCATTTAAGAACCGGCTCTTCCGTTTTGCTGCTGTCACTGCTGTCATCCTCATCCTCATCCAAGAGACATTTGAGGCATGATAGCTCCGTATGGAGACCGGGAGGCACATCTGACATCTGAGGCAGGACAACTCTGTATGGACGGCGGGAAGCACATCAGTCTAGAACAGACATTGGAGGCTCCGGATGGAGAGTGGAAACTGTCATGTTAACATTGGTTGCTTTCAAGCAACCAATCACCTGCTGGTTACCAGGAAAACTTGTGCAGCTCCCACCATCCATCCGGAGATGGCCTCCAATGTCCGCTCTAGACGGATGTCCTTCCTGTCATCCAACCGGAGCTGTCCTGCCTCAAATGGCAGTTGTATACTGATGTGCCTCCCGCCTTCTGCCCTTTGTAGGTAGGAGATGAAAGGAAACTACAGTCACTGCTGTGAAGGATTTGGGGGAAGCTGAGGATGATGTGAAAAGGGGCAGAGGACAGGAATCTGGAGGAAGAGGGGGGTGATATAAAGGGGAGGAGTGGTGGACATGAATGGGGAGTTGAGGACAGGAATGTGAAGAGGAGTGTGGACATGAATTTAAAGAAGGAGGCTGAAATGAAGGGGGGCAGAAGACAGAAATCTGAAAGAAGAGGTGGGGGTTGATACAAAGGGGAGGGGATGACAGGGATGTGAAGGGGGTGATATTAAGTGGGGCTGAGGACAGTAATTTGAAGGAGGAGGGGACTGATATAAAGGAGGCAGAACACAGGAATGTGAAGGTGAGGTGTTATTAATGGGGGGAGTGATGTGAAGAGGGGATTGAAGACACTGTTGTGAATGGAGGGACTGTGATGTTAAGGGGTGATCTTGATGTAAAGGGGACAGAACTGTGATGTAAAGAGGGAGGGGGGTTGTGATGCTCCCATTAGGGGTATGAGAACACTGTTGTAATAACGGGATTGTGACTTGAATGATCTGAGGCTAGGTTTTTTTCATTGTTACCTATGCTCTGTGTGTAGGCAACCTATTAATTTCAATGGGCTGTCTTGCATGCAGAAACGCAAAAAAAAAAAAAGTCACTGACCCTTTTTCTAAAATTGCGTTGCACGTGTGGCATTTGCTGATGTTCCAAGGTGCCATTAAAAATCAAACATGCAATTCAGTGGGATGACCAGTGGGTGGGTCCTGGGGGGGGGGCAGGCCCAAAGTTATGCAAGGGGCCCCAACATTTTTGATGGATGATCTATTTTGATCTGTTCCTAAATGTCTGTAGATCACTGCATGATTGTTTTTTTAGATCTTTTATCATGCTTCACTTTGTCAGCCAACTTCTATTTAAGTGATTTCTTAATTCAACAGGTCTGGCAGTAATCAGGCCTTGGTGTGGCAAGTGGAATTTAACTCAACATTCCAAAAAATTAGGTTAGTCACAGTTCATGCATGATTTAGCAATAAGGGTGAAATTACTGGGTGGGTCCTGGGGGGGGGGGGGCAGTCTTAAAGTTATGCAAGGGGCCCCAACATTTTTTTTGGATGATCTGTTCTGATCTGTTCCTAAATGTCCGTAGATCACTGCATGATTGTTTTTTTTTTAAGATCTTTTAGCGTGATTCACTTTGTCAGCTAACTTCTATTTAAGTGATTTCTTCATTCAACAGGTCTGGCAGTAATCAGGCCTTGGTGTGGCAAGTGAAATTTAACTCAACATTTCAAAAAATGTGGTTAGTCAAAGTTCATGCATGATTTAGCAAGAAGGGGGCAATTACTTTTTCACATAGCACCAGGCACGTTTGAACAGCTTTTTTTTTTCCTTTAATAAATGAAAGAATTTAAAAAATTGGATTTTGTATTTACTTGGATTATCTTTGTGTAATATTAAAATTTTTGGATGAGCTGAATCATTTAAGTGTGACAAATACGCATAAAAAAAAAAACAGGAAGGGGACAAATACTTTTTTCACAACACTGTAAATAGTTATGCTGAAGTGACAGTCCACCTATTGAATTATTACCAACTTACCTCTGAGTGGGTAATATTTAGAGCAGTACTCGAAGAAGAACAAATCGTAACTGAAGGAGCACCCAGACTTATCATAACATTTCAGCTGTGGGGAAAAGAGACAACTCTACAAAACTGGATTAAACTGGGTTAAAGTTTCACAAAATAAAGATACTTACACCAAAAAAAATGATTTACATCAAGTGAAAGCTTTATTAACATGTTCAAACATGTCCACAAGGAAACATATTCAAATACCCGTGTGGTACCTATTAGAGATGAGCGAATCGAACCAGGCGAAGTGGAATTCGTTTCGAATATCAGGAAAAATTTGATTTGCATCGAATCCGAATTTTAGCAAACTTTGGGTGCACGAATCAAATTTTTCCCGATCAGCCGGAAAAAAGTGTCACTGCAGAGAGCTCCGCTATTTCTGACAGTTCTGACAGTTCATTTACAGCGGTTGAAACATTGTATCTATTTGTTTCCATTTAGGATAC